CGTAACCAATGCCCCTTCCTTTGGCAATAGTTACCTATGGACCCTTGATAATGGGACTATCTCAGACTTCGCCTCTCTCTTTACCATTGGGTCAACCGAGTTGACTATGGCCGATCCCTTTCCATTGGGAAGAGAGAGTTTTACTGGATATCCAATGTCATCATTGTCAATGTCCATAGCGTTTTAGGAAGTTGATCTTAGCAAATAGATAAGATCATTAAGGGTCTTGTCTTAGTCTGTTTCATAGGATTCCCAAAAGAACTCACTATGTGACTTAGAAAGTAGTTGAGCTACCAACTTTCTCAAGACTTTGACACCCAACTCTCCCGGCTTGTCAATATGTGACTACATCTCCAAGATGTGATCACACCTAGACCTTGCCTTGCCAATAGGGCTTGAGTGACCTTAAACTTTTTAGGAACTTGTGGGTTAGGGAGAATAATTGGAGGAGGTGAAAGAAGTATGATATCCATGGGACATCATCTTCATTTAGGAAAGCTTGTTTCAAGAGATTTGGGAAGATCATAAATGTCTAGACCAGAAATCTTTTTGGGAGATATTCAAGATAGTTGATTTAAAGTCCTTAATATGACACCCAATATGAAATATTAAGGCTAGGACCCAACAAAATATTTTATAACTTAGAAGAGGGATGCCGTAATCCAAGCTATAAAATATTTGAAGGTAGGTGAATGACGATTCACCAATTTCCACCATGAAAAACGAAATAATTTATTAGGTTTTAATTGGATTTGAAAGTCCTAGATCTTTGAGATTCATTGAACTGTTCAAAGGCATGTTTCAATCTCGAGTGTGCCCTTCAGGTTTTGTGACTGGGATGCCGAGGATCACAAAACAAGGTGTGAATAACCATGCAAATATACTTGGTACCCTTAATATTTACCCCTTAATCAGTGTGCCGGTTAACCACACACGCTCCACCGATACTATGATAAATATTAAGTTACCCTTTGCCTACCTTGTTAAGTCCAGGTTAGTATACCGGTTAATCACACATGCTCCACTAACGACTTAAGCAAAGTGCAAAGTGTAATTTCATGGGTTAGCACCAAATTCACATTTTCCTAAGTAACTAAGATTGGGTATTAATAAGAGTTTAGTTACTTAGTATTTATCATTAATACTTTTTAATGAAAGGAGAATTATAGTCCTTGTCCTACCCGTTCGGCTAACGACCATCCACCAGTCAAGGAAGCGGTGGGCTCGATGCCAGGCGAGGACTGATGAGAGTGTTGGGCGGGGCCCATGTCATGTTATTGAAAGATCCGTACCGACGGGCCCAATGTATGACATGCAAGGCCCATTGTATGTACGGTATGGGGTATTTTAGGGGAACTCATTATGCTTTGTGCTTATCGTTTTTTATTTATGTTTTAGGTACTTTTGGTTCGAAGGGGAAGGGCTCGGGATGATCGCATCGTACACACTATGATTTTCCTCATTACTTGACTCTGATGTATTTTGGATAATTATTGATACACTATGATTTCCTTATGGTTTTGATAAACATGTTTGGTTGATGTTTTATTTAATATTAAAACAAAATTTTTGGTTATAATTTTTGGGATGTTACAAGTTGGTATCGGAGCCTTGGTTTGAGGGATTCAGGCATACTCTCGGGTGTGTCTGAAATCAAACTGAGGGCTTGGTGGATTTTTTATAAAAAGAAATGTTTTATTAAAGGTTTTTCTAATAAAAGAAAGGGGTGTGATGCATGCAACCGACCGAGTTCTAGTAAGTTTTCCCAAAATACCCATATATGTTCTATGTGGTATTCTTTGAATAGTGAAATTGTGAATCACATGCTAGATTAGGGTTAAGAATCTGCTCAAGATTGCATGGTAGATGTTAGGAGAGATGCCTTTATATGGCTACTATATGAGCTTGTACACTTGCATGCTAGTATTGGATCAGTCAGTTGATAGGATGGTCTGTTTGGTTTATGCTTTGATTCAGATTACTCAATGCTCGAATGTTTCTTGCTTTATGCTTTTAGGAATTCCCATTAATAGGGCTAACTAGTAAGTGAATGCATTAAGTTACATATTACTAACATTCGATAATTTTAGAAGGTTAGGTTTAACCCTATTGCGTTGCTTTTGTTTGAGTCCGACCGTTGTAATGTGAGACCTTTATGTCAAAGCATTATCTGGTGTCGGTGATATGTAATTGTGTTTTTAAGCTAGTTAGATGGTGTTAGAGAGAGTTCCTTCTGCAACTGATGGTGCAGAGTGGTGTGATGGTAGTCCTAGGAAAACCTAGGAGGTGATTCAGTGCGGTGAACTTTGATTGCTAGAGATTTTCTGGATTTATAAGGAAGTAGCTTGGGGATTCAGGGCAATCCTTGAGGAAAGTACGAATAGATGTGGAAGGTAGCATTGGGACCGTACTACTGGAAGCAGAGGATCCATACTCGAGTCAAGGAAAGTCACGATGATGTCGGGGAGCTTGTAGAATGTGGGATTCTTGGAGTACATTCTGATGGTTTGCATGGTTTATTTTCAGTATGTTGGTCACTCAAGGTAGTTATGGTGGAGATATGGGGGCCGATACTAGTTCTAGTGCCGGTGATGGTTCGGGTTCGAGCTCCGGGGTCCGGTTTATGGACAATCAGATGCAAGAATTCATTTCATCAGAGATTACCCGTAGTATTATTGAGCAGACTCCTGTGATCTTCGGTAAGATCAAGGAGGGTATCATTGAGATTCTGGATGAGCTCTTGGGCACTTTTTTATTATGAGATGGTGGCGATGATGGGAGCTCGCACTTTGACTTTCTGTGAGTTTTGGGCATGTGGGGCTGTAGAGTTCTTTCGGAAGAAAAAACCAATTGTGAGCAGGAGTTGGTTAGCGGATGTCACAAATGCCTTCAATACTAGCCGCTGCCCCGAGGGGGACAAGGTTAGACTTCCATCCTGTCTTTTGAAAGATAGAGCTCGAGACTGGTGGGAGGAGGTTGGTCGTGCCTTGGGAGGCGAGGCGGTTGAGTCGATGACGTGGGAGGATTTTGAGACGAGGTTTCAAGCTGAGTTTGCATCGGTGATAAAGGTACAACAGTTGGCAAGGGTGTTTCAGTACCTTCGCCAGACCGGTGAGACTGTGGTGGAGATCACTGCTATATTCTGAGAGAGGGCGTTAGTGGTTCCGTAGTATGTGGCGGATGAGGATATGAAGAAGGCGAGATACCACGATATGTTGAGCGGCGATATCAGAAAGTTTTGGGAGATGATCCAGTTGTAAGACACTGGATGAAATGGTGACGCAAGCCAAAGAGAGGGAGATTGACCTGGAGATGGAGAAGAAGAGGAAGCCGGATCAGGTTTAGAGTTTTGAGGGTTCGGGAAAGAGGCTTAAGTTTTTTGACTCGAGATCGAGGGGCCAGCAAGGCCGGGGCCGCTGCGGCAAGTGTGACAAGATACACGATGGGGCTTCCAGGGTGGGTAGTTTTGTCTGCTTCAAATGCGGTGGGGCGGGTCACTTCAACAGGGATTGTATTGCCACCACCACCGCCCATGTATCTTATATGATTTGCTTCCATTGTAATTAGAGGGGCCTTAAGAAGGCCAACTGCCCAAGTTTAGCAGCAGGAGGACCAGTTGCAGCGCCCGCTCCGGAAAACTTGAGGATCATTGATTGCCGCCAAGGCAAGGCGGAGGCTCCTGTTGTGAGGAGCAAGGCATTTCAGATGACACCCGAGGAGGGTCGTGCGACACCAGATGTGGTGACGGGTATATATCTTCTCCTTAAACCTTTACTGATTTTGATTTTCCTGGTTATATATGTGTTTTGCTTTTAGGGTCATTCCTTGTGAATGGTATCTCCGCTCTGTGTGACATCCCCAATTTCACGGCAAAAAAAGGTCAATTTGTTTATGCTTTATTTAAATTCAAAGTATCATTTTGAATAATAATATTGCAGAATTTGTTCCCAAAATATGATAAAGATATTATAAAGTCATTTACAAGAAATGTATTTTAATTATATTAAAAACATTGGGATGTCATCGTCAATACATTACATAAGCATAAATGGAAGTAATATAGGCGTTACAATAATCTATTATTCTACTGGCCTATAATCCATAAATATCTCATATAATCATTACAGCTGTGCTCTTATGCCACTACCTATAATACAAGAAACTGAGTGGGTCAGGCGTGGGAGCCTGGTGAGCACATAGGGTTTTCAACCCACAATAATTAAATTCTTTATTTTCATCAAATCATTCAACTCGATTTCCCATTCCCGTTATCCTCACTTTTTATCCCTAAATCATATCATTAAATTCACTACTAGAAAAATACCCTTTAATGACGCGCAAACCATGACACACGTTGTATTACAATACGCAAAAGTGTGTGCCCTAAAAATAGTGTTAGATCTCCCAAAATGTGAAGGATTTAGGACGCGCATTTTTGCGTGCCCTAAAATTAGTGTTACAAAAAAAACACGGAGGGCACCTATCATAAAAAGCGCGTCGTGAAATCATGTCGTTTTATATTTTTTTTAATGAAACACGCACATCTTCGTCTTTAGTAGCGGGAAAAGGAATTCCCAAAAAAATTAGAAAAGTTGAAAACCCGCCATGGCGATTTAGCTCTGGTTCCGTCTCCATCTCTCGTTCACTTCCATCTCCACTTTCTCTTCCATCGATAATCTCTCTTCCATCACCCACCTCGCCGACGATGAAGGTTTCTCGTGATTGTTTGTTGTACTTACAAGCCCTAGGTCCGATTTCAACAAAAATCTCTTTCGATTAACACAATTCATTAAACCCTAGAATCGTAAAGGAAACCTAGCCCCCATAGCTTTCTTCACAGTTCACCTACTCAAAGATCCTATCGGTAATAAATCAAATTATTATGCCCCAATTGTTAATCCATCCAAGTGATTCCAACTTAGGGCAGGATGCGTCAATCCATCCCTCACCAGTGTCTTCACGTGTACATAGGCCCATCACTCGTGTAGAATTATAAAGATATGCGATTTCTGGTTTCTCTTTGGCGACTCATTGAAGATAGAGTACGCACAATCTGTGAAATTTTTTCTTTCATAATTCAAAATTTTGCAATATGTTACGATGATCGTGATTTTATTTATAATATAGGAAAATATGGTAGATCCGGCCGTTGAAGACAAGATAGTGGCGGCGACGGAGAATAGATTTGAAGAATTGCCGGTGGAACAAAAGCGCAAGCTTAATTTGGATGAGGAGGAGACAAAATCTGGTTCCGGAAGGCGCCACCTCTTTGGTCGCCGGAAACCTCTGCACGCTGCTCTCGGTTCTGGAAAAAGTAAATCTCCTCAATCTTATTTTAGTTTTAGATCAAATCATATCTTTAATCTGTTGTCGATGACAATGGAATTTCTTTTACATATGACATACGTATTTCTTGATATAAATCATGAAAATATGTAATGGACTCAATTCAGAATTTCAGATATCTTGATCGGCTTAAGTCTCTATTTTCAGCTGCTGATATTTTACTCTGGCGACAAAAGCAAATGTCTGGTGCCATTCAGGTCTCTGCAACTGTCATATGGCTTCTCTTTGAGAGGATAGGCTATCATCTTGTTCCATTTTTGTGTCACTTTCTAATACTTGCTCTTGCGATATTGTTCTTGTGGTCTAATTTTTCTTCCATCGTTAACAAGTGAGTGGCTATTTTATAATCAAGTACAAAAATCTTGTACATGAATATATGAATGCTTTTTCTTTTAATAGGTCTCCTCCAAACTTCCCTGACATTAGATTGTCACAAGAACTGTGTGATTGTGTTGCTCTCTTGCTGAAAGATCAGATCAATCAGGGGTGCTTATACTTGAGGCAAATGACTACAGGGAAGGATCTAAAGAGATTTATGAGTGTATGTATCTACCTACCCACTTTTGAGGTTCCTTATCATTAACATGGATGAATTTTATGCTACTTTTAACTACAAAAACAACTTGTGGGCATGCAGGTCATTTTTACCTTATGGATTGTCTCTATCATTGGTGGCTGGTTTGAGTTTTTGACCCTTGTATACATATGTGAGTTAATTGCTTTCACATCCTTAAGGCTGCGTTTTGTTACATAGGACTTTAATGTAATAGGTTGGACAGGATTGGATGGGATTAGATAGGCTTTCTAAGTATATTTTTGTTTTATAAGGATTACGAGGGCATTTATGTCTTTTGAATAAATAGGAGATCAGGAGTGACTCACTGTCCGAGTCCTATCCCACGACGTTTTTTTGATATGGACACCTACACTAGTCTAATACATATCAAACATATTATAAAATGCATGTCATGTCATGTCGTCATGTCTTATACTATATAGCAAACATTCTAATACTAAATAGTTGAATGAATAGATTAGATAAGAAGATTGACTCTGATTCAAATCGGTTCTTGGTTCACAATTTGATGTTGTAAAAGTAGGCTCTAGAGGCCCAGGTGATGCTACTCAATCAATTTCATATCTTCTATCCAAATATAATCATGTCGTCCTATGTTGTGACCTTTGTTGTTTAACCCACATGTCACAATACCACATTCATTAACAATGTAGTAATAATGAATCAAATTAATTTAATTAAATAAACAAATCAATTTGTTATTTGATGTTAATATCAGCAACAAATATGTTATGACAGATGCAGGAGATAAAAATCTTTAAAGTCCCACTTTCTTCTAATTCATGCTTAAGTTTTTAGGTATTGTAGAAACAAGAAGCAGTGAGCATAACATTAAAGACCAAGGGGCAGTCAAGGAACAAAGTGGATAAAGCTACTGTTAGGATTTTTCTGTGGATTTTTTCCAATGAACCATTCGGCTCTGCATACAGATTTGAAGTAACTGTGGTTTATTCCTGCTTTTGATTCCCTTTGGAATCAACCAGTCCCTTCTGATATGCAGGTAATTATTATAATATTCAAAATATCTAATTATTTCTTGTTTTGAGTCTGATTTTTTAATATAAAATTGGTTGCAACATACGTGATAGTGGATGGATTGCTTGCTGCATCTTTAGGGATATACAAACTGCCAACCAGATTCTAAGATAGACCACAACTCACTTGCATTGCCGATAGTAAGACATTTAATCTAAATAATAATATGAAATACAAATTCATTTATTGGTTTGCATATGATTATGTTATTATGTATGTGAAACTACAGCAATGGGTTTACAAAGGGTAATATAGTAATATATGTTATTTCATTTATTACCAACATTAGTTTAGAAAGGGTAATATAGTAATATATGTTATTATGTATGTGAAACTCCATCTAATTGCCCATCATACACTGTATATGTTGCCTTAACTCCACTGAAGAATGTGTACAGCTAAGCAACTTTATATCTGGTTGCAGGAACCAATCTGGAAGGTGAAATCTAGCCGATTCTTGATATGTGTTGTGGAACAAAAGATAGGGACACTTTCTTTCATATATTGTCCATGTAGTAGGGGACAGTTTGGACTTCCGGGGCCTTCCCAGCTTGAGATTGATCATGTTGAAAGACCAAAGGACGAGACTTTGGCATCTTTATTGGCGATAAACACTTGTGATCCATTTGGTGTGGAATGAATATAGATTTGTTCCTTGTGGGTGAAGCCAATCCTCACTTGCATCCGTTGTGGCAGGGGCAGACAACTTAACACTTTGGTGTTGTGTGCACTGTGCACCAATCAAATAGAAGAACAAGTCACCCATGTGGTTGCCATTTTTCTTGGAACTGATAAGGTAGGTACCTACTACATTTTTGAATAGTTATTTTGTAATGTAATGTTATGAAATGTATTTCAGGTGTTGATTTGTGTGGTTTTTGATATAATCAGGTGAATTGGGCACTTGCTATAGTAAAACATGCTGTGCATCTTGGCTGCTATGTTTGTTTTTTAAAAGAAAAGAAAAAATCTTGTTAAAATGAAATTAACAAAACTTGTTTATAAAATAGGGTGGAAGATTGAAGGAACTAGAAGTTGTATATATTTTAACTGACCAAGTTACCCCTGGAGATTTTAGCTGGTAGGTAGTCTGAGTTTCTAACCATGTATGACTGACACATTCTGCTATATACGAAAGAAAGGGTATCTTGAATAATTTCTTCTCTTTTCAGATCTTAAGTTTTTGGGTAATGACCAGAAAGAATTCCCACTATTTGAATAATAACGAGTGGACAGTAAGGGTATTTTGGGAAGGTTTTTCCTGGATTTAAGTGTATACACGGAGACAATTAATGAAAAAAAATTGTTGTGTAATGACTTGTAAGAAGTAAAAACAGGGGGTCTGACCAAGTATGACAACCTGGAGACGAGTCCCAACGATTAAAAAAATTTTGGTTGGTAATGGCGACCTTTAAGTAACTAGTCAATCACGATTCACGCACCAATATCCTATGTCTATTGCAACGGTAAAAAACCCAAATTTGGTTCTGATTCCTATTCAATTTGTGTATTTCGATTTTGATCCCTCTCTATTCTGTATAAATTGGAAAGACAGAATTTTAAAATTCTAGTATGTTTTTTTTCTAATCTTGTTGGGAGGACCTTTAGTTCAAATGTTACTAATTTAAAATTTGTTTTTGGATCTGTGTCTAGGCGTCCCTTTGATATAAGGACCTGTAATTTGAGATTGGTTCATGCCTTCCTGGGACATATGGTGGTTCACATGAACCTTTCTTAATCTTTTTCTTTATCAGTTTTTTGTTTTTTTATGGACAAGATCATTTATATTTAATGTTTATTATTATTATTATTATTATTTGCAGATATAGATTAAATTTTTTAGGATTTACATGCATGTGCCTAATGTGATTAAGTTGGCTAATGAAATGTCCAGAGACTTCAAATTGCTATATGAAAATGAGGTTCGTTTTAATTTCATACTTTCTTATTTTATTTTATTTTCATTCTGTTAAAAGATTTAGATTGGAAGGTTATTGTTAATGCAGGTAGCGACTATGTTTAGGAAGTTTCATGAACTTTGCATAAACATAAATCATATTGAAGAAATAGATAAGGAGCTTGTAAAACTTTTAACTCTAACTGAAATACCCAAAATACCTTGGGAAACTGGAATATGCATGTTATGTGGGTTTCAAAGAGTTGATACAAAAGTATTGTTATGTGATATGTGAATGCAAAGTGTCACACATACTGTCTGATTCCCCCTCTTTTTGTCTGATTCCTCCTCTTTTTGAAATCCTTGAAGGTTGCTGTTTTGTCTTACTTGTGTTCCTCATAAGGTCAATGAATCAGAAGGCAAGTGAGTAGGGTTTTCCCTCCACATGTGGCAAGCAAGTAATGTCCTATAATTCTATCAATATCTCATCTATACAAACTGGAGAAGTGAGTTGAAGAGCTGACATGGAGATTAGACTTTGAAAAGCATTTGAGGGTATATTTTTTTTATATTTCTTGTATCTAATTAGTTTGTAAATTTTTGTTGCAACTTCTATTGATTTGTTTTATCTTTCCATGTAACAATTATTTGTATGACATTAAATTTTATGCAATGGATTGTATTTTTTTTATATGATATTTTATTTTCTATTATGAGATATTAAATACAAATTTAATTTGAAAAATTAGTAAATCTATAAATAATATTTTTTTTAAACATTTAAAATTATGATACGCAAAAATGTGTGTCATCTTCATTTATGACATGGCCTTTCTTGACAGAGGCTTTAATGATACGCAATGCGAGTCGTAAATGCGCGTCGTAAGGTTACGACACGCAAATGCGTGTCATCTTCCTTTATGATAGGGCCTTCCTTGATACGCAATGTGTGTCGTAATTGCGCGTCGTAAATAGACGACGCGCAAAAGCGTGTCGTCTCTCGTTATGACAAGGCCTTCCTTGACACGCATTTGCGCGTCGTCTGAGCGTTTTACGACACACATTGCGCGTCGTAAAAGGCTGTTTTTCTAGTAGTGAAAGGGACATATCCTAAGGATTATCTTTGGGATAAAAAATAATGTTTAGGGGTTTCCTTAGCAATATATGTCAGTAAGGAAACCATGGAGGGGATGGAGTACACCTGCTGAACAATTAGTTCAAAAACACGTACAGGTTGCGAGGCTGCCTGCGTTCCACTCGACTGTCTAGAATAGTTCGTGGTCACCATCTACACTCCGCTAGACGACTGGATCATCTTTAAAGTCAAGTCCTCTTATCATTTATCTCATTTTTCATCTTTCATCATCTATATCATCTTTCATCTACCCATCTGTACCCAACATAATTATAGGTATAAAATACATATACAGTTTCAATCAAGTAAAACATGTATAAATTGTTCATCCAACATAGATATCAGAAACACAGATAGTAGGCACATATAGCATGAAATTTATATTAAATACTTCATATCTATGTGTAAGATGAAAGTAAATATGCATTCGCTTCTAGCAATTGTCTTTTCCTTTGACGTAATCTAGTATTATTATCACTAAGTCTTAGTCTAATATTTATTGTGACTAATTATTAGTCTAGATTCATCATTAATTCAAAGACAACTTCAAGATCTATCAAGTAAGGATCAACCAAGTAGGACAGTTGGGAGGCAGTATCATTTCGGCGTATAGTTTTTTTGAAATCCAACATGACCATTCTAAACACCTCTCCCGTAAGTAGATCAATCAGTATAACGACTTGAAATTACCGAAACATCTTGTTTATAGGTTTATAATTGCGATAATGAATTTAAACATAAGTTATACTTAAAGCACGATACACATAACTCTACTTACAGGTGGTTTAGTGAGAAACTGGATTTTGCGCAGGCAGAACTTCGTTGTTGAATCTTTTTTCTAAAAAGATTCTTTTAGCGCTTCAGTGCTCACATTTCTATACTAAAACTACAGACAAAGAAGTTGTATCATGAGGGACCGAAATGCTCAGGAATAAGAAGAAAAAGACTCTTGAATCAAGAGAATGATGCAAGAAATATGAGAGTCTAGAGCCTTATATTTATCGGAATTGAATTTTCAAAAACTACCCTTTATAGTTACTTAAACGACCTTTTAGTTATTTAAATGACCAAACGCCTCTTTATAGTACTATTTAAAATATATTTAAAGATATTTGTACTAAACTAAAGTCGAAAGTATTCAATATTAGTCTTATAATGATCGTATCGTCGATACCTTTCTAATGATATATAAATATGTATACATATTTATGATTTATACTTTATTATAATACGTAAATATGCTATTATAAATTATAACTTGTTCATGCAAACTTTGTTTATGACGTTATTTATATCCACGCGTAGCTATCGACGAGATCTACAACTTTCGTTTAGACTCCGTCGACTAATTTTGATTTTATTTTCCATCCATATTTTTATAAAATTAAATTATTTTGCCAAAACCATAACTCTCTCGTGCGGACTCCGTTTTTGGCATTTTTTTTCTCAAAATTCCTATTTTAAATTGTACTACCATTTTCTATTTGGTGACTTTAGCTTAAAGTCAATCATTTTCTTCGTAACTTTTTACGTCACAAATTCCTTGTGTGCGACTGACTTTTATATTTTATAAAAATAATATCTAATTCATATGGAGTCGGATTTCTACGAGATTTATATTTTTGGGATCGGGACGATGTATACTTTATATATATATATATATATATATATATATATATATATATATATATATATATATATATATATGTGTGTGTGTGTGTGTGTGTGTGTGTGTGTGTGTTCTAGCGCACTTATTTTACGATTTACGGGTGATTCAGAAGATTTTTCTTTTTTATTATATTATAATAATTATGAAACACATAATATTCACATAATTCTTCTTTATTACATCAAATCGGTTACAGTTGTTGACCCTAACTATTACATCATCTTATTAATGCTTAGCGAAAAACGCGAGCGTTACAATTCTCTCCCACTTAGGATGATTCCGTCTCGGAATCATGCATCAGTAAACATATGTGGATATCGACTCATCACGTCACTTTCTGTCTCCCTGGTGAGGTTCAACCCATTCGACTGTTTCCATCGCACTAGCACTAATTCGACCATCCTGCGTCACAACTTCTTTGTCTTACGGTCGATAATTGCTTCGGGCTCTTCGATTTACCTCTTATATTCATCAACCCTTAACTCCAAATTTGGAATTATATTGAGAATTTCTTCTGTGAACTTCCTTAAATAACACACATGGAAAGTACTATGAATACCGTCCGGTTATTTTATTAATTCCAGCTTGTAAGCTTGGTTCCCAATCCTATGAAGAACTTTGAATGGCCTAATAAATCTTGGACTCAACTTTCCTCTCTTTCCAAACTTTATAAGTCCCTTCCATATTGAGACTTTGAGCAACACTGAATCTCCAACTTCGAAAGTCATTGGTCGTCGTTTCTTGTCAGCATAGCTCTTTTGGCGATCTTGAGTTGCTAACATCCTTTCTCTAATCACCTTTAGCTTTTCAACAGTTTGATGGACCATTTTGGGACCCATAAACTGCTTTTCTCCAGCCTCAAGCCAACAAGACGGCGTACGACACTTCTGTCCATATAAGGCATTATAAGGTGCCATCTTAATGCTCGAATGGTAACTA